CTTGGTTTTGCTTTTATTTCTGGAGTTTTCAATTCATAAGCACTATCTCATTCTATGACCATTTGTTTCTTCCTGTACTCTCTTCATATTTTGTTAGGCTATGAGGTTCTGAACTAAATAAATAGATTTCAACGCATTTTCAGAAAAGGTATTCCAGGGAAAAAGCATTGGTTGGAATTACGTGTGCTGTTATAATTTCTATCCCAAAAGAAAAGGCCTGGAAGAGGACAAATGGAACTGTTGAGGTTCTTGCTCTGTTCCCCCCTCCCCACCCTGAGAATGTTGTAAATGCCTGATCAAACTATCTGAGGATGTGTTATTTTCTGTCTGTATCTAAAAACACAGGATAACCAATGGGGCTTCTTCCATTAGTACATTTCTTTATCCCTCTTTAGAAGGGATTGCTTTTTATCTAGTGAGTCTGTGAGAGTTTGACATTGGATGACTTTATAAAACATTCTACTAATTGGATTTGTTAAAATAAATAAATCAAACACTAATTGGAACGTGCCCTGCCATTATTTTTGCTTACTGAATTAGATATAATGGCGTGAAGTCCTTTTTATCATATTTGTGCACTTATTTAAACACCCCCCTGGCGCACACTTCTGCAAATTCAATTATATATTCAAAGGAGGCATTCAATTTATGCAAGGCTGGTTTACATTTAATCCGGGGGCAAGACTCAGTAACTGATGATAGGTCTGCTCAAGATTAATTAGCATCACTCAGATGAGCAGTGGCATTGTTACAAGCCTGCAGTGTAAAACAAGGGATATTTTATCTGTCCTGTGTGAGCTGTTATTTGCTTCAATATGACCCTTTTCAGGGAAGGAACGACTTCATCCTTGTTTGGCTTTCATTTTGTGAAAAGAGATGGTCAACACCGCATGCATTATCTTAGCAGTGTCAGAGTCATCTCAATTTCCTTTCCTCTTGCCCTACTTAGCAATGGTATTCTTCACTTAATTTTTAGCTGATTAATGGAAAGATTCTAGTTTGCATCCTGAAATCCTTAGCCCTCTTAACAATTAACGAAGGCACCAAAACTCCATTTTGGTTGGCATGCAAATGCTTTACTTTTGCTCTAAGCTGCTTTGTGATGCTGTGGGTAGAACTGTGACATGCAAACCTAGTATCTAAATTTACAGCCTGATATCTTTTATTGTGGATTATTTTCTCTCTGTTAATGAATTTCCCTGTTCTGTGTCAAGCAGTTATGTTTCAGCGATGGATGATTTTGTATTAAGATGGACCTCATCTTTGTGGTTTTTCTTCCCTTGTTATGTTCCTGCATAGCTGAAGCTTTTAGGTATCCATATACGTGATGTCTTAGGAAACAGTAAATATTAAGCTTGTGCTGCTATTTGTGAAAGGAACTCATCTGCAGGTTTTAGCTTGCTGTACTGCTTTGGAGTCATTGCTATCCTTACTAAAGCGGGTATTTACAGTCCCATAATTACATTTTTGTTTAGAATGAAATTAATTAGTGGGGAGTAATTGAATTTCCAAGGATCTGGCGGCAAGGTGCTTGGGTGGCAGAGGGGATGGCTCCATCCTGGCAGGTTAGCACCTGTGCAAGAGCAGTTAAACAGCACACATGCCTTCAGCTTGCTTGGGAGCTTGTGGTCCACACACACACACACACACACACACACACACACACTTGTGTGTACTCAGACCCTGCTGCAGCCTGGGCAGGGTGCCACAGGCAGCAGGGTGCTGCTGAGTGCTGGTGGCACAGACGGGTCTGCAACTGCCCAAAACAGCTTCAGGGAGGTGAGGGGAATGCTCCCATTTGACCTGGGGGCCATACGTATGGTTTAAAGCAGAGTTTGGTGCTTAAAAGATCAGCAGTGGGTGTCTGGCAGCGGGGCACCTCTGGGAGGAGAAGGCAGGGCTGTGCTCGGCTGGGCACGGTTGCTTCAGGGCACAGATTGTTGGAGAAAGGGCAAAAACGTGAGAAACAGTGCTGTGCACACCAGGGTCAGTAGAGAAGAAGAGCACGAGTGGATGTTGGATTTCTCAGGTAGAGCAGGGTGGGGTATGGAAGGCTGCTTTTGGTTGCCTGTTGCAGCCACGTTGCGTTGCCATGTTTGTCTTCTGCGAACTAAGGCCATCAGCAATGTGTATTGTAAATATGAGCAAAAAGCACTTAAAATTCTGCAGTATTTCAAGTTGTGTGATTCTTTGCCTGCACTTACTGAAGTCTTTCCTGTTTAATAATATGGTATATGCCGTATTTTAATGGTGATAACAGAGTTGATGGCTTTCTTGCTCACAAGCGATCATGGCTTGTCCCACCTGGATCCACTCTTAGTTCTTGTCTCTTTTGTCACTCTCTAGCAAAAAGCTGACAGGTGCTTTCCTCTCCTTGATCACCCAGACTGAGTCGTTCTGTGCTCCCTGAGCAGCCACTGCTTATCCAAGCCTTGAGAATCGACTCCAACGTTTTTTTTCCCTCTCCTCATTTCCTGCAAATTCACCTCTCCAAATTCCAATTCTATTGCTTCCAGTAAATTAATCCATCTGGTTTATTGCCTTGTCACTTTGCATTTGGTGGTTCCTACTCTAACTTTTCTTTCTTTAGAAATGTAGATGTGTTGCAGCTGCTTTTAAGGCTCTCCACAGTTTATCCTTTCTTATCCAATCTTACTACAAGCCTTAGTCTTGAATGTCACACAAGACGCTTTAAGGTGTTGTCTCTTATCAGTGGAAACTCCCAATTAATTTCTGGAAGCTCTCACTACCCTTGTTCAGCTTGTTCTCCAACTTCACCTGCCTCTGCGTACATAAAACAACCTATTTAGCTAATTGTATCTATACATCAGCAATTACATTCCCTGTTAAATAAGGACTGCTACCCTGTGTTTTGTTGTCGTCTCATTTTGCTTCTGAGACTTTATATCAGCACCTGCGTAATTTTCTCTGTACACGAGTCCTCATGCAATTGTCTGGCTTGATCAGAGTATTTATTTCCAAGAAGTAGCTGAGAGACAGCACCGCTTGTTGTGCTCTGTAGTGTGCTGTAGAGAGGTGGTGTGTAAATGGAATACATCTGAAGTCCTCCTGCTAGAGTGAATCTATCAAGACTAGAATGCCCTGCTTGGAGACTGAGAGCAGAGTATTTGATATCATCTCTTGTAGCAGCTCACTATGAAAAAGGTGACTTTCAGTTGCATTGCATGCTCCTCACAGGCAATCCAGAACACCTGTTTTTCGTTAGACATTTTAATGAGCACATTTAATATTTTAAACTTGAACTCTTTCACCTAAATCAAATTAAAACTTTAGGGAAACAGCTGAAGTGTAGTCCTGCTCACTTTGACAGTTCTGAAAGCCTCACGAGCGCTGTAAATTTAAAGCAAAAAATACTTTTAAAATTTGTAGAAAATACATTTGCAAGGTCTCTACTGAAGCAGGCAAGGCTGGCAGGGTCATGAAATCTGCTGTACTCAGAACTGTTTATACTAAAATTACACAACATAACAGTATTTTCTTTTAGGACAAGCTTAATCTTTAAATTTTTCTTTAACAGCACCGAGTATCGTCAGGTACTCTATCCAACAAATCCTTCAAGCTCATATGCTTAAATAGAAATAATTTGTGTGAAGTTTCACAGGAATTTTTAGAAAACCAGTTGTGGTTGGAATGCACATTAAATCCTTGAGCAGAATAGGGTTTTGTGAGGAATTTCATAGGAACTGAGATGGGTTTGGGTTTTGTTGGGAGCCAGAGGGAAAAGATATACACAAAAACTAAAGAATGCCTAAATGATCCACTGTTGGGTAACTGTTATTGAATGGAAACCACTTGTGTACTTGCTATTTATTGTGCATGTGTAGAGAATGCAGCCTGTGGGAAGGTAAAGAGCCGGGAACGTCTCTCTGCATGTAACTCTGATTCGTGTCAGGAGCAATCGGCAGTTTGGCTGGAAAGGCAAGATCATGTAGCCCTGAGCACTGCTCAGTCCTTGCAGCTCCAGAAGTGTTAGATATGTTCAGCTGACTTTGGAGTACTAGTAACTGCAGAGAAATTTCTCCTTGCTTTTGTAAGAGAAAACAAAAGCAGGGCAGTGACACTGTTGTCATAATTAAGGTCAAAACCCAAGCACCCAATCTACTTGATGTAATAGATCCAGTACTGCAATATGTTTGGCAAGCCAAGTTGGGTGGATGTGAGGAATGAGGCAATGGAAGAGTGGTTCAGCAGTGTAGTAACAATCTACTAACACTAAATGAAGACTAAACTAATTGAATTGGCTTGCCTCACACATGTCCATATTGAGATATGTTTTTTTCTTGATTCATAAGTGTTCAGACAGCTGCCAGGTGATAGTTAATCACTTTCAAGTATTTCAGGAATTGCAGTAGGAAAGATCACTGGAAGGTGTGAATGTTAGTTTCCATCCACTTCTTGTTGTACTCCTTTTGTAGAGAAATTAAAGGCTTGCACTCAGAGGTCCAGTTCTGATAAACCTGGAGAAGTAGATACGTGTCACATAGAACTTTGTGGTTATTAAACATAAGAGATGGCAAGGAAGGATGTGCCTTCTAAAGGTGCAACCCAACCCAGTGTAATTTGAATCTTAAAAGTGAAATCAAGCAAGTATCGCTGTAGTATAGTGATACTTTGCTCGTCTTTGCCATTTGGGTTCTTTCTCCCTCTTTTTTTTTTTTTTTAAAATATCTGACCTAGAGGTTTCTGTAAATATCAGCACTGGGACCCAAATGCACGTGCTTATTATGTGCAATTGTCTGTGAAAATGTTAAGCAAATAGGTTGAAACAAAGGGAGCTGATAGAGGAGAAGAGTAGCAATGAGAGAAGAAAGACTTCTAAGAGATATAGAAAGTTGAAAATTCAAAATATTTTCTGGATATCTTCTCTGCTCTCTGAAATATAATATGCAGGATTTTTTTTTTTTCCAAGTTCCTCTGTAAACCTAGGAATGAGAAATTAAATGATTTTAGTATAATGATTATATATAATTAATGCAGGAATGCATGCATTTTTCTTGTTTCTAGGTGGTTGTTCCTTTGATGAGCACTACAGTAATTGTGGTTATAGTGTGGCCTTGGGAACCAATGGATTTACCTGGGAGCAGATCAATACCTGGGAAAAGCCAACGATGGATCCTGCAGTCCCAACTGGTAAGTAAGAAGCCTCTGCAGCAGCAGAGGTATTACTCTTTGTGAGGATCAGCTGTTAGCCCTGTACAGATTACTGACATACATTGTGAACATATAATAATACTGTAGTCTTTTCAGCATTCTCTGAAGAGCTCACAGTAATGAAAATTTCCTATGGTTTTATTTCTTACTGGAAATTAACATTATATTGTTGGTGTATAGATGGCATAGATTCTACGGAATGCTTCGTTCACCTTGAAGAAAAGCACATTTTAAGAAAAGGCACTAACTTTTTCTAAAAGCCATAGCTTGTGCTTTTTGGCAATTGAAATAGCTGAAGGCCCTGCTCTAAAGCAATTGACACAATGGCAAACAGAACTGGCCAGCCAACTTGACTGCAGTCATGAAGTATTTGTTCCAGTTAATTGATTGCACTCTGACAAGCATGAACTACTTGGCAGAATTAACATCTTGTGTTGTTGCAGGGGTATTTTTATGCCTGTAAATTATTGGGCTAAGAAACGTGAAATTGCTAGGTGTCTGTTAAGGGAAGCAGGCAGAGCTGATGTAATAATAGTTTCCTGCTGTAGCCGTGGAAAGACAGGCTAGTGTTCGTCCCTGCATGTTAAATCTGTTAATAGAAAATAACCACAAGATAGCTGCTTGTTTGTTTGTTTGTTTGTTTTAATTATAGCCTAAATTGGAAGCTGTTAGTGACAGAAACTTTCAAAGCGTGACACATGGGACTACTTGTTTTGGCTCTGGTATCCCAAAAGCTAATTCTGAAAGTTACTTCTCTGGTCTTGTCTGTATGAATGCATTTCATCATTCTGAATGTGTTGACTTTTTCATAAGGGCAGTTTTATTTCTACAGCTCCTCAGCTTCAGCTCTTGTGTGTCACACTCCCTGCTTGTAGTAGACCTAACTAGAGAGACATGGCAGATATTTGAATTTGCAGATCTCACAATGATCTGAAGGAATGGGAACGCAGATAGCTGTGATGCCATCTGGAAGGCAAGAAATTAACGGGAGGGCTTGTACTGGAAAAGTTCAGTACTTTGCTAACTCTGAATGTGAAGGAAAATCTATCTTCCTGCCTTCCATCTGAAAGTGTTTTATCATCTGAAGATGCTGGATCCGTGGAGAAATTGATAGACAATCAACGGCCTGGAATGGCAAACAAACCCCAGAATAGTACAGCGTGTTTCTTAACAAGGCTTTCAGAATTGTTTTTCCCAAAACAAAGTAGATAGAGATATGTATGGTCCTTTCTCTTAATGCTGTGTTCCGTGTTATCAGGTAGCACTAATAGTTAGATCTATAAAGGTTGGAGCAGCTGCAAAGTAACGGCATCAACAACAAAAAAAGCAACATAAAAGTACAGAAATCTGAGTTGTATTAATTATATGTATATATTATTATACTGTATATGGAAGAGGAAAGATTCTAACAACTTGTAGTGTGCTGATGATGAAATATTATTTAAAGAGACCTTAAGGAGTATGAGGGGGAATGATAAAGTGCTTTGCTTTACTAATTGATGTCTCAGTACTAGTCACAGAGAACAGAAGGTCAAGTCATTAGGTTGGAAAAGAAGGCTGACCACAGCAAATGTGTACAGAACACATTTCTCCAGTAACAAAAATATGTTTTCAAAAGCTGTCCAAATGATGCTAACCTTGAGGTAAATTATGGTGTTCAATTAAACTGCCTCAAGCTTGTGGAGATGCTAGAGCTATTACTGGGAGTCTGTATTGCTGGATGGAATCTTAATGCATGTGTTTTTTGGTTACTCACTGAGGGTCTGTTTTGTGAGAATAAAGGATTACTTAAAATTCATCTAGTGGCAAAGCCAGCCAAATAAACTGATGAAATAGTTCTACTCCTACAATCAGAGACATCTTTAGAGCCAGAGTACTAGAATATTTGGTGATTGACTTTCTAATCCATTTAGTTTTTCCAAAGCAGCTGAAGCAGCATGGTGCAAATCCATCGGGTTGCAAGGGTGTCAGAGGTGGTAACAGTGTTTGGAATAAGCAACTTCCAACTTCTGGTGGCCAACTGTAGGCAGGAAATCACTTTTAGCATGGGCAGAAGCAACAGGGGCGCAAGAATGCATAGAGGTCTGAGGATGCAAGCAGTAATGCGTATTTTCTTGAACAGGATGCTGTTTTAGACACTACACAGTTCTTGTGTGACTGGAATCAGATTAAAATACTGTATTGTGAAAATGGTAAAATGTGTGAGCAGGCATTAAATTGGTTCCATGATCCTGAATAAGTCTGCAGCGCAACCTGCTGGGAAATGTTGGCAGAAAAGTGTGGCCTCACCCCATCCTGGTCAGCCCACATTAACGTTACTGTCAGAGCTATTTCCTTGTTTAAAATGTCAGCTTTCATAAGCACCAGCAGGTCCCTTTGAATTCAACCAAGCCACAGAATTCCATCCTCCTGAATACTAATGATAACATCTAGTGCTTTTTACAGTCCTTTTCATCTTTAGATCTCAGAGTGCTCTTCAGAGGAGGTCAGTATCATGAATGAGAGCTTAAGTTTGTAGTACTGTGTAATTCTCTGCTGAGACACTGCTGCAAAGGTCTCTGCTCAGGGATGACTTCCTATTTTTATTTTTATTTATATATATTTTTTGAATTAAAATGCACTCCTCAAAGGGAAAAAGAAAAAAAAACCACACAATTAAACTGCTCTACTAGCCATGTAAAAGTTTGTAGGCAATTTGTTTTACACCATTGCTAGCAAATAAACTGTTTTTCATGAATTTTGTGGTTAATTCCTTCGGGCTGGAAACTGTGTTAATTGGGGGATTAAGAAACAGATGTTTGTTGTTTCAAACAAATGTTTCAGAAACCTGAAATAAATGAATTGTAGGTATCCAATGCCCAGACTTTGGTGCAACTCTTTTCACCTCCTTGCATGATAGCAGGAGTGATTATAACAGAATATTCCATAACAGATGGGTGTTTACTTAAGCCTGAATTATCCTCAGTGATGAATATTCTACAGCCTCTGGGCTACTTGTTCCACTCTTTGAGTTGTAAAGGTTCTCAGTACTCATCTTCCATTTTCCCTTTTATGGCTTAATCTCATTATTTTTTTCTCCATCTATGACTAGGAAGAATAATCAGTTGTTGCTCTCTTTTATGATCTCTTACATAGCTGTGTACGGTTAAGTCTTTGTTTCCCAGGACTAAGTATGACCCAGTGCTTTTACCCTTTTTGAATTCAGAATGTTTTGTTTCCCTCTCTCTACTTCATGCCTTCAGTCATTACCTTCTTATCTTTTTTGGGTATTTGCCTAAAGCTCTCGTAGCAAGCTGGGATTTGAAACTCTGCATGACAGTCCTGGCAGGATGCACGGCTCTAATTCTCTTCCGGAAGTTTAGACTACAGCATGCAGTTATGTCCTGCTCCTTGTATTTCCTTCATGCAGATTTATTCCCCTTTTTTTTTTTTCCATTGGTAACCTGTCTTTATGTGCTTATGTGTTAGATGATTTGAGATGAACATGGGGTTCTAGTTTGTGTTGAATCACAGAAAATACTTCCTTGGTGGTAAAAGGGCCTGAGCTTGTGTGTATTTCAGAGGCAGAAGCTTGGTTCGTAGAACAAATTCTTGTACTGTGTTAAAACTAGTGTTGGAAAAACACTGGCTTTATTTTTCATGTTATAACACTGCAGCATTCCAGGAACCCTGCACCTGCCTACCATTGCAGCGTTTGTGAGAATATATTAATAATTGAAGTATTTAACATTTAGCATTTGCACGTTCAAAGTATTTTACTGGCTTTTTCTAATTAACTTCAATGGAGACCTAACTGGGCTGACTAGACTGGAGCAATTACTTTAATTGTGTTAAATACAGTCGTCCTCTGAATGCAGAGCTGTGGTGCAATGTGCCTTTGTGCAGCAGCGTCTGTCAGTGTTACACTGACTGTTCATCTCCTGGTTGGTTGTGTGAAGTTTCCCTGTTCCATGTTAGCAGAAAGCAGTCGGCACACAGCAGTTGAATGTCTGGCCTCATCTTCCTGACTGCTGATTTCCCTTCATTTATACAAATTGGCACTTAGTGCTAATTTACTTTGTGTGTATGCGTGTATATACATAGTTATCTTTCTGTAAAGATACACAATATCACTGCTGTTTTGGGCTGAATCAAGTAGACATCCTGTTTGTCTAAGAAGCAAATTTAGATGAACTTAGAGATGAGTGAAACGTTTAGAAGAAATTAGAGCATTCAGAATTAGCATTGTAGCAGTTGTGTGTTCCTTAGAAAGTGCAGGTTGCCTCGCTTTCCTCACTTCACAAAAATTTCACTAATTTTCCACAAAGAAACAGAGCCCATTAACAGTCAACAGTATTTTCATGCATTGTTACCTAAGGGTTGAACTTGCTTGAAATGTGTAACTCACAGTTTGGAAGCTGCAAATAGTTGTGGGAAATGCCATGAATACATAATTTTATGGGTTTCCCTGTGTGTATTTGATAAGTGTTATCAAATAACTGATAAATAATGTTGCACCACAGATTCAGAAGTGTGCATGTATTGCATTAATCTTTTGCTGTTTACATTTGAGCTAAAGCATTTTAAATGTTTTACAGTGCTTCAGGAGACAGAGTAGGTTAGTACCAAGTGACTGTCAGCTGCCCTGTTGGTTGAAACCCTAATGGCAAGTGCAGCATTGAGATGAGCAGTTCACTCTTCAGAGACACAGTCAGCATTTGTCCTGTATCTGTCCTCACACGAATTTGGAGAAGGGCTCCGTGCTGAATCCTCGTAATGGTAGATGTTTTGAGATAATGGTAAGGTTAAGACATGAACATGTTCTGAGCACTTTCTTGTGTGAGTCCATATTGCATGGCACAATGAAATGAACATAGCTTGAGAGGTGTTTGGTGTTCGAATCGCATTGATCCCTCGAACATGTAGCAGATTTATTCTTTCCTCTTGCAGCAGAGATAAGGGATGGGGACTCTTCTCTCATCTAATTGGGCATGTACTTT